CTCGTTCATCTGTTTTCTAGATCATTAATAAATGTTCATCTGCAACAATGAACCTCTCAGCACCCCACTCTGAATCACACACTGTGCTGAAATTTGACCATTTAATCTTCATTTGATCCATGAAAAGGACTCTAACAGTCACTCTGATCACTTAATTTCCTTGGTAGCCTTCATCATTGCTTTTGTGTATCAGTGTCAGATCACGGTGTATGCTTGGAGAGGTGTGAGTGAAACTTTGTCTGATGAAGCAAGGCGTTAAAGCCAATTAAGCAATTTGGCCCCTCATTAACCTTGAAGAGTTAGCTTAGAAATTCTTAACTGAGTTAAACAATAGAGGCAACTTTGTATTTGAAAGAAAGAAAATAGATGAAAGCCATTTTGACTCTGCCAGTGTCACAGAAGCGATCTCAGAAAAACAAAAAATTTCAGAAATGTGGATGGTCTCATCAAGAAAAGAACCATCTTGATCAGGGTGCAAGTTTCTGAGCCTCAGTCTGTCTTTCACCAGAACACGCGGATGATGTTTCTGACTAAGTGCGAAATAATTGACTCAGCGTTGCATTCCAGGTTCCAACCTGTCAGGCTTTCAGTCAGGATTTACAGCCAGACATCCTCCTCCTGTGATGAATGGTCCAAAGGAGAAGACAAATATAGCCTAAGACCAACCCAGAATTCTTCAACGACAGAGCTGTGTCAGGGTTTGGAACAACCTTTTGGTGCCAGTGGCGCTGCTGCTTCTTAGGAAGGAGTCAGAAAACCTTCTAGGCTAAGGTGCATGTATGTGAAGGCAATGCAAGGAGGGAACTGGCCCTGGGCTCTGGGAGAACGTGAGCAAAATTGGGGAGGTTTGTGCAGGATTGTGAGATAATCTTGATTAGTTGAGCAGAGAATATTTTGCCACTTCTGTGCGTTGGTCTTTTGTTTATAAGAAGAACTGATGTCAGCTCTTTTTGGTGTGTAACATCAGTGCATCCCCTACCGTGTGCTTTCCTTGCTGTAAGTAATAAGGAAATGCACAAAGATATGAAACTGTCAACTGAAACTAAATGTGAGCTGTCAGCCTGATGAGACTGGATCTGTCAGAAGATGAGTCTTTTGGTTTTGGTTTTTTTTTGTCTAAATGGCTGTTCAAGATCTCAGTATGTTATTGCACACTGCATGCATAGAACAAAAAGACTGTACTACCTGCCCCTTCCCCTCCATCCCATGTCCTGAAAGAACTGTCTTCACTTCCCCAACCTATTTGGGCTTTTCATAAGCTCTGTTAAGGATGTTTAGATTATTCCCTAGTTCGCAGAACTTTTAATTTTTATGTTATGTTGTATAGAGCATAACCTTGAAATAAATCTCTGTATAGCTTTGTGTCTGAAAATCCTGCTGCAGGTGTTGGTCACAAAGTACCACACAGCATTGAAGTCTTCTCTGTACTAGTTTGTCACATACATTTGGAACTGCTTTTTGGTGCAGTAATAAAAGTATTATTGAATATTGAATATAAAAAATTTTCTGCATGTAAGATAATTAAGACTGGGTAAATATTCTTGTGGTATGTATAGAACCCCATTTTCCAAGCTTCTTTAATGGCTGGATGAGAAAAAAGTATCTGAACCAATACTGAAAATTGGGGCTGGTCATGAATTTGGTGCACGTATGTTCTGAAAAGTAGGTCAGTATGTGTGCAGGAAGCTGAACCGGTAGCCTGGGGTGAAAGGGTTAGTGCATAAGTAAATAAGGGAATTGACTGTTAATCAGAAAATATAATGTTCTAATTCTTGCTTTGCATAACTAACAGGCAATTAACCTCCATTGACTTGCGATGTGAAAAGTGATCCAGAGATGTAGATCCTTCGCTTTGGTAAGTGTCAGTTGGGAAGAATGTTTTTCTTGACAGTTGATTAGGGGTTAAATGAGCTGTATAAAATATGCGATTTTTGCTGCTTTTCCCACTTAGTATAACAGCTATTATATGAAGCATTTTCCTTACATTAGTTGTAATGATTGGCTTTAACTGATCAGCCTTATTGGACGAACCAGTTTTGATTGGCAAAAATGTAATTTTGGTATGCTCAAGATGTGCAAAAATGGCTGATGCATACAGAACCTTGATGAAAGTATTTTCACTTACTGACTTTGATAGATTTGGGTCTGCTTTTAAACAAACTGCTCTTTTCAGGGAAGTATTCATGCACCGGCTTTGAAGGGAACAGCAGCATCTAATACCTGCCTTATCTATGGGGAACGATACTGCACTACAGGAGTGTTAGCTCCTGCAGACCCCGCAGGCATCACCTCGCAGTTGATCTGTGAAGCCACAGACTCCAGTCATTCAGTTTTGGAAGAGTAACTGCTCTCCAAATCACCAGGCCCACCAGATGTCAGTTTCCTCTCGCTCGCCGAGAGCAGCATCAGTCCATTTGGTGCTCATTGACTCTAGATACTGAAAAAAACCCCAAAATAGCTGGGAGAAAAGAGGGCACTTTCTGAGCAGTGGGAATAGGGAAAAGGATCAACGCTGAAAATATGAACTCTAACTCGTAGTAAGGTTGTGTGTAACAGCAGCTGAGGTTAAACTGGTGCTTATCAGTAATACCACTGTGAGGTTGCTGGAAGGATTGGGCATATTTCTCTTGAGGAGGGATTGCTGAGGAAAATGGTGGTGGAAATGTGGTGGGTTTTTTTTGTGCTTTGTTTGATTTAACTGTTTTTCTTCGCAGGCTCAGGGAATTGAACTGTTTCATAGCACAGTGTTTTTCAATTTTTCCCTTGTGGATTCACTTCCTCCCACCCCTTACACACCACCCCCCCCTACAGTTTAAGCTCTTATTTAATGATCTTTAGTCTACAAGAAGCTTGATTTTTTTATGGCCAGCTTAGCAGTAGCTCTTGAATGTAGGTTAAACTATACCATCTCTCTCCAGATGAAAACCTTAATCAGTGCTCTAACACACTGGCTCGGAGAGGACTGATGCTCAGGTAACTACCTGGAGTTTCTGTCGTGGGGTAGAAACTGGTCTGTGTTTTGCTATAGACTGATGGTTTTGAAGGCAAATAATCACACTTGTGGGAAAACAAGGTAACAGTTAATCTGCAATAGAGGTGGTGAGGTGGAGAATTCATCTGCTGGAGCTCTGCTGGCTGTGACCATCCTAGAGTAGACCACACTGATGAAAAGATGAAAACAGCTTTTCACAATCCCTTGAAAAGTGCTGTGCTATTACACGTGAGGTACTTCAAACTTTATGATTGTGCTAAAGTCCTACAGTGAAATAAATGCCTTTTGAAGAGTTTAGATCAGAAGAGAATGGCTAGAACATCAACAGGAAATAAAACATTTTTATTGAATATCTGTGTAATATGTATGTTATTTTAACGACAATTGGAAAACTCTACTGTGGGAAGTCACTACACAAAGTGAAACAAAATATAAACCACCTCATCAAAAATGAAGGTAAAATACGGCTAAAGTTGTCAGCTCGCGGGCCACGAGCGATATGGCAGGATAAAACACCCCAAACATTTCTACAAGATACAGAGAAAACCCACACAGAGAAACACTCAAGCAGGCAGTAAATATACACAAAGGCAACTAGGATCTTTCTACAGCATCAGATTCTAATACTTCACACAGCTTTGTCAGAAAGGTACATGTGGCTTCTTTGAGGATGAAAATGTCATCTTGGTCACATGGCAGGTTCAGTCTCCGAGAATCATTGTACCTTACAAACCAGTTCTATGGTGACATTCAGTCTGGCAGTGTAGGAAGAGAAAGCCTTAAGAACATGTTAACACAATGAGTCAGTCCTGGCAGTTTGAACCTGCGGCTATCCTGAATGAGTAACTGAAAGTTGGAGACCATGAAGCTCTTATGCTGGGAAGCTGACTGTCTACTTCTTCTCTTTGGTGGGGTTTGGTCCTTAAGGTTAAGATTTCAAAGTATTCCAGCTTGATGCTTTGCATGTATGCGCCTGTTTCTATCAGAAAATGTCTCGCTTGTGTTTTTTCTGTGTTTCATGTAAAAAAAGAAAGAAAATGGGTCTTGCTATTTTCACTTTTGGAGGTGTGGAGAGATCCACTTTTATTCTCCTCCCACTTCTTTGCTGGTTCTTTTACCCTCGGTGTACCGAAAACATAGGCGCTTGGCCATCACTGCACTGACCTCTCAGATTGTCCCACCTCTCCTGGAAGCAGAGCCTTGAGGGAGGCTGTAGAATCTAGTTTTCAGTACACAGTTCTCTGATTACATTCATCTTTGTTCTTTGTTTGCAATAATTTCTGCTAGATTCACTTGGTAAGAACATTAACGGTTAATTCTCGTGCCTCCCTCCAAAAGGCAATAGCATTTCCATATTTCTGGGGTAGTCTGCATTGCTGAAAATAATGAACTTTTCAAAGCATTATAAATATATTCACAGCTTGGAAAGATAAGCAAGGGGCCTCAAAGGACGGTACACGAGATAGAAGTGATGCCCTAAATGACTTGATGAGATGGTACAAGCTGAGATGACAGGCTGGCTAGCTGTAAGATGACTATCTACAGTAAAGTGGTGGTGGTGGTAGGGGGGCGAGGGTGATTGGAAATGTAGAGTATTGCACAGGGCTTGACAAAATGCTGCGTGGTCAACCCATTCAATATAGCATCCTTGTCCCCTGCATAGCTCTCCAGTCCTAAATTGGTCCGTAATAACTAGAACTGCTTGTGCTATGCGTTCCTTCGGCAGTGCAGTAGAAGGGAATGGCAGTATTATTACAATATCACTACGGAATAAATTGATTGCTATCCACTGAGAAAACTACATTTCTAAGCACACACGGCAGTCACAGTGATACACAGAGCAGTCTTTCAAGACTCTTATGGAATGACTAATAGCTTCATAATAGTGCCAGTTACTACATAATAACATTGAAAACATTTAAAAACTCCTCCTGAAACGAGCATCTAGTATACAGAAGAGGTTGCTTCAGTTTTCTAGAACTTGTTCTTTGTTTTCACTTTTTTTTTTAAAGGACAAATTAAAACTTAAGTATAAATAGTATATAAAAGGTCACTAGCTGTTCTCTTTTGGCTTACTTTGAAGTGCATTTAGAACTATGGCTAAATTTTGTCATCTTCTGATGGGATTACAATACTGTCTGTTTACCATGAAACTAGTTTGTATAATAAACTCACACAGCTGTGTCTAAAAAATATTCTGCATTCCTTCTAATCTGAGTTAGTATAATAAAATATTTTGTTACAAAGTCTAATGTGCAAACTCATTATAATGTAAAATTGTGGATGGAATTCACAGTATGCAAATTTTGTATAAAGGTGATGATTGATTGATAACGGAGAGCTACTCTTGTTTTCATGGCAGCATTTCGCTACTGCTGCGTCTCCCTCATCCCTTCTTTCCTCTCCCTGCAATGGTCTTACTTTGATAAGATATCAAAGTATGATAGATAAAATCGTTGCCTCCTGTGGAACTGCTTCCCCAACTTTCACTCTAAAGCCATTCCAGTCTGTTATGTGTTTGCTTTGGAATATATACAAAGAAATCATATCCTGGCTACATCTTCTTGAGCTCAGCCATGGAGCTCCTCAGATCATGCTAAGTTGCCTGTGAAAGAAGTCTACCCAAATGGATTTGCCCCTCCAAGATTCACTGTGGACGCGTAGCGTGTTATTAGGATGATCCAGTTGAAAGCTCAGATTTAAGTTGTCCTTTAAGATGTCAGTGTAACACTACTAGTGCCTTACAAGTTGGATTTTTGTTTTTTTCTGGAATGCAGACGATACAGTAGTTACCCTATAATATATTATCAGCTCTCCTATATCTCAGTCAATTTACATAATTTAAAATAGAACATCTTATTAAAAACATCTAGATATACACAGATTAGGAAACGCTTACAACATACAAATACACAAACTAGAAATAAATTCTCAGCATACTGGTGTATATATACAACTGTGTGATACAATAAATAATTTCTGTCATGCTCTATCTACACATCATATTGCTTAAAAGAAGAGTAGATCTGGGGGGCAGTGGTGAAATGAAGCGCCTTTAGAGGGCTCTCTACATTTAAATTTGTGCAAATTAAAATGGGCATTTAAAAGTACAACTGATCTGTGTCAGGAACACATGGCTGGAAATGAAAGGACCCATATTACTGAGGTATTTACAGATACTGGCTAAAGAGCACTATGTGGGCAAATGCAGAAAGGCTTCTTCTTCTTCCTCATTTTCTTCTTCCTAATTCAATTTAATTTTATTTCATTTCATTTAATTTACTTCTTGACTGCCAGCATGGCATCTACCTCCTCCTCGGGCTGTAAGGTGTGCCACTGTGCAATGGGCCGCCGGGGGTTGGCCAACATGTCTGACCAATGCCGCAGCTCCGCTCCAGTGCTGTTGTAGCCCACAAAGACTTTCCCGATGGCATCGTTCTTGCCAATCTTGTCATAGTCCAAAACAGTCACAACAACTTGCACTTTCTACAATGAGATAGAGAGAGACCAGTGAGCATGACAGTAAGGGGAAGGTGGGCAGGGATGATACTTGGGACAGGCAATGGCAATGGAGACTATGAAGAGGGCAAGGTTCCTCCAGCAAGAAGCAAATTCAAACTTTTGTCTTTGTTTCTTATGAGACTTCCAAATAAAATTACATTCACAACCTCCCTGTTAACTTGAAACTTGCCCCCTTGCATCGAAGAGCTTCATATGGGAATTGATGTCGATTTTTTCCTTTAACAGATTAACAGATTTTTTGTTGTTGTTGTTATTGAGGGCTTAAGACTGCTAGAAGTCTACAGGGCTAAAATGGAGATAAGCTTATCAAAAGTAGTGCAATTAAAACATTATTCTTTATGTAAATGTTAGCCAAACTTCAGAAACAGCTGTACCCCAAGTTAACATTTGCAATGACGTACTCTATTCTGTTGTTTTTCTGCTTCTAAACAGCTCTTACCCATTCATCCAGCATGCTAATCACTTATTTCAGATAAATTCAGAAAATAGCCCTTATGGTTACTATATACATATACAAACACACACATTTATCTCTGTGTGTGCATGTGCACGTCTAAATATGTATGTATACTGTGTATATTCCATTTATTTATAAAGGAGTCTAGAAAACAGGATACCTGCTCAGGGGAGTTGGGAAGAAGTATAAACCCCACTGTCTCGGGGCTCTGTCATATTGGTGCTACCTCTGATTGAACCAGTGTTGGAGTGCCACTTCTGCTGTAGGAACAGTGACCTCTGGCAAACAGGGTTACACTAGTCCCACAAAACCCACATGAGCCCATCTGTCACAGCTGATGGACAATTTTCCCTCCACTTAGACTGTGGCGCACTGGCAGGTGAGGTTCAAGCCAGGCTTTTGTGTATGCATTTGCGTGCACAAGCACACATTCCTCTCCTTCAGACCATTACTACTTGCTGAAAGAGCACAGACAGCTGCTCCTTCAGTGGAGTGGTGTTCATCCCCAACAGCACATAAGATACTAACAAACAGCCTCGGGCTGATTTTACTAATTCAGAAATGCCTCTTTATAGAGAGCTTTATTTTTAAAGATGAACATACAGTTTCTTTTCCCGATTCCTTTCTATCTCACGGTAAACATACACAGCTCCTTATTACAGCGTGAGTTTTGTGGAGAAAGAAATGCCCTGAAACACATTTCTCCCAGAAAAATAGTTTATTCAAGCATCAGGCTTTTAAATTTAAGGCTTTAAATATATATACGATCTGGATTTCTTACTAGAATGATTAATTTCGGTACTTGCAATAGGATTATCTTTCAAAAGTGACTATTTTAAGTATATCTGCAAGACCAGGCTCATAAGGTCTATTTTATAGAGGCCATTCCCTTACAAGATTGTACAATTCACTGAACCAGAGAAAGAGATGATTTCAACAGACACTAAAGTATTTATATAGTTGCTGATGACAAAAGTGTACATCAGACTCAAGATTCTGTCTCTCCAGAGCACTCATGATAAAAGGCAATATCCTGAAGCAAATATTTCTAGATGTCAAAATCATATTTCAGTGCTGCTGTTTGCAAAATGTTCACTTCTAATGTTGATGGTACCTCCCCAAATGAACATTTATGTTTTAGATGCATGATACAATCACACATATAAAAGGTAAGCATGAGACTATTATTTTATGGTACAAAGAAAAAGTTGTCTGCTGTACCTAGAAGCTTGGGGGCTAGTTACTACTGTATTTTTTTTACAACAATGAGCACCGTAAACAAAAGACCTTTTTCCTTGCTCTATAAAGATGTAAAAACAGCTAGCTCAGATGATTAACGCTGAGATGACTTCCACTTCATGGTCTCTGGCTTTAATCTACAGAAAAATGTGAGCATGTCTTTGCCTTTGTACCACGTATTAAAGGCACAACTGCACTGCAAAACCCAAGAGGTGCTAGTAGAAAGCACCATAACAAACACTTGGATTAGCAGTTTTCTCACTGTGATTAAGCATTCTTCGGACTGAAAGGGCCTGGAGATGTTGCTGCCTGCAGAGGTGGTCTGTCTTACATGTCACAAAACATGTGCTTGATCTTCCTTGTAGCAACAGAACTGACTTCCCAGTGGTGTTCTCTCACTACCCTTAAAGACTATCACTTTCTTTCTCTTAAGAGCCAGAGTCCATAGCCACTATTTAATTGTTGAAAAAGTTAATGTTTGGCCCATTTTAAATTACACAGATAGATATACTGCTATTGAGCTACTTTCCCTCCACGAGCTCTGTCATCTTCAGTCTCCAAAAATCAAGAAACTTAGAATCATAGAATCATAGAATAGTTAGGGTTGGAAAGGACCTTAAGATCATCTAGTTCCAACCCTGCTGCCACGAGCAGGGACACGACACACTAAACTATGTCACCCAAAAAAACCCAAACTTGTACAACCATTAGTTTTTATTTGACTGTGAAAGTTTGCTTAATGGCTTTTACACAAATTACACAAAATTCACAGCCATTCTTACCATATTCAATTTAAATAACATTTAAAATGTGTTTTTCTAATGATGAAATCACTTCAGTACCCTTAAGGAAATAACTTCTCGATATAGTTTTTTATAACTAACTCCAAAATAGACTGGCAAAGGACCAAAGTCCATAATTACAGATTTTAAATTGAGGCTATATACTGAAGTAAATAGCTATAAACCCATTCTCATAAACTTATCCCTCCCTCCAAAAAGGCAAAAATTTGAACAGTTAACCCGCACTGCGTTTTAAAGGGCCTATAGCCACCTTACGAAAATGACTTGGAAGGCTGTGTGGAATGCACCTAACCATGCCAAAGCTGTGATCTGATAACTTGGAGGTGCCCATTCTAGTCCTCTACCTATTTGGAAATCAAGACATTCATTGTCTAAATTGCCAGAGAGGCTCAATTTGATTAGCCGTTTTTTTTTTGCCTCTAGGTCTTTGTTGCTTGTTACGAGACCTTTCACAAGCACTCAGACCAGCTTGCACTAAAATCAATGGGAATTAGGCCCCACTGGATTTCCCACTTTTTGGTTCCTAGAGTCCAGAGACAGCTGTACATGCTGTGGGGCATGAAGAAACTCTAAACAGGCTAGTCATGCACCCAAGTCACTATTCCTACTGCTCATCTTGTCTAGTTTTATTATGCTTATTGGTACCAAGTCAATAAAACCCAAGCACACAGCTTTAGTTGAAATGTAGGCCTTGGCTCTAGTACAGTTGCTATCAAAATCCAAGCTAAGAGTTTCAAAACCCATACCATGCTCTCATCTAATCAAGAAGGGGCTCACAATTCGGTCTATTTAAACTACAAGTAGCATAGTGCCTATCTCATACTTAGACCTCTCTAGAGCCACTAAAGGATATATTCCCAGGCCATTTTGATTATGGTCATTCAAACTGGGAGGCCCCTGAAAACACACTTCCCACACTCAGCTCCATGCAGAAAAGCTATTGTCTTGCTTAACATCTCCACTGTCACAAGGGTCCACAGGCAGGTGGGAAGCCACCATACAGTTCTTTTCTGAGGATACTTAAACCAATGACTACTCTAATGAGTAAGCAAAATAATGAAATATCTAATACTAACGCTTAAGGCTTTAAAAAAATGCAGGAGGCCTGAACCAACTGATCTTTATGTGGTTTATATGACCTAGATCAGACCACAGACCAAAGTCTCTCCCTTTCCAAGTGAACCACCTAACTAACATGCTCTGTTTATATACATACTTATTGTTTATGCAGAAATGAATATTGCACTCCCAACACAAGCCATTTGTATCATATATTAAATGATACGAGGCACAGGCAACAAACGTATTTGCTTATGACATTGATGTTAGATACAGGTTTAAATTCCCTTAGGAAGTAGAGTGAATTGGATGCAGGTTCCCCACATGCCTCTTGAGATAGTTAAGAAGAGCTTTATCTCTTGTGAGAAAAGGCTAGTTAACATCAGAAGAAGAAGATGATTTATCTCCCACTAGTTGGAAGGCAGGTAAACTGAGTCCCTGAGAAAACTGACCTAGTATTTCCCACTGCTAATGTAGGTGACTTCCAGCTCACTGTGCTGACTTCTGTGGCCTCTAATTTTAGGCACTGAACTCTCCAGCAGTGAACTGAACAACTGCTGGAGCTACCCTGAGGTGCCAAGAGAACAGGTCCTGCAGTACTGACCCCTGAGATTCTCAAATCTCTGTTTCCAACAGACACAGGCATCACTAAAAAAGTTTTCATGGTGTGCTGAACAACTGAAAAGAAGTTGTGATTAAATAAACTATGTGTTTTACTTAAGAGGGATGCTGCAGTGCTTTCAGTAAACAGGACTGATAAATGCATAGTGAACACAAATTTAACTGATGATGCCAATTTATTATTGCAAATAATTTGGGGAGAATTGCTGTATACACTTTTTCTTTTAGCCCTGTGCTTTTTTACTGGCACATTCATTCACTATCTCCCTGAGAATTTTTTTTTTTCCACAATCCATTTTATGTTAACAGAAAATGTCAGTTATCCATTTCTCACTGATGAATCAAAGCTTTGTAAGTACTGTGCATTTTATCATTTCCCTCTTGAAGCAGTCACACTCATCTAATGTAGCAGGGGGCTGGCACCTAAGTGCTAATGAAGGCATGCACACGTGATAATTAACAAGATTCCTGTAAAGTATTTATAAGGGCTGAGAAATGGAATGCAGAGGGAAGACAAAACACTGACATTACCTGAATTTGCTCGAATGGTACTTCAAAGCTGAAAGACTCATTGTAGTAGGGATTCAGAGTGTTCTTTTTAATTGTAGTCTTTTTCTTCTTCAGCCTCTTACCATTCTGCATCAGATGGATCTTCACATAGGGATCTAAGTGGTCAAGAGAAGAAGCAGAGCTAAGCAGGGTAGTTCAGTGTGTTTTCTACAGATCTTAATCCCACACATTTAAGAGTTGATGAGAAAAAAAGGTAATAAAAACCTTTAGCAACAAATAACTGGTATTTAAACAAAGTCCTAATTTCCACTATAGAAAAACACCTGTATGATTGTGAAGTGTTCCTGATGGAAAAAGGTACAAAACATTTATTGCATTATCTCCTTAACATCTCGAAGGAGGGGTAAATTCACACCTAACTTCGTTCCATGGCTCATTAACCATCCTTGAAATGTTTTTACTTTAACATTACTTATTTACAGCAAACATTTCTTAGCAACAGGACTGTGGAGTGGTTTTCCCAAGAGCTTTGAGCACTGCCAAATGCATACATGGTGGGCATAGTGCTCAGGTGATTGGCTGCTCTGAAACCACCTCGCAGCTCTTCATATCACTCCTTGGGCATGAGCTGCACCATGGTTTTCCCATCCTCTGACCTCCCCAGTGGGCTGCAACTGACACAGCGCAGTGTCCATGGGTCTGATGTGTGACCAGATTGCATGGCAGGAAGGGACTTTGCCCACTAAGAACCAGTTCCCTACCTCAGTGCTACCTGCAGCCAGGTAAGTGCATGCCACTGTATCGGTATAAATCACGAATTGGTTTTGCCTCTCTCTATTGAATTCCAGTGGTTATGTTGTACAGCTTCTGGTGGTGAATTAACAGAACTGATTCAGTTTCTAATCAGGCGTTCCTTGCGCAAAAACAACTCTTATGGACATTACTGCTGTGAAGTGGTATCTCAGTGGCTATACTTTCAATTGAAATTTTACCTGCTTAAAAAAAATAATGCTGTCAGGCCTTAATTTGTTACAAGAGTTAATGTTCTTGTTTAGAGAATGAACTAGCAGTTCTTCATGGTGGTGTTAACTGTCAGTACTTTCACTGAGCTCAGTTATTTTTGTGTTTAGGTCTACCACGAAGCACCATTTGAAGCATCTCAAGCTCATCCTTTTCAACAACCTGCATGGTACTGTCACAAAAATTTGGCTAGGTACCTCTCTTGGCTTTATGCAGCTGAACTGTGATGTAGGTCACTAGGGCAAGACTTCCCTCTAATGAGCTGGTAGGAGCTATACAAAGCGCCAGCCAGCCACAAGTCATCTGTGGCAAACATAAAGAGAACCTGAATGCAAACTATCATAGGAAAAGGCTAATCCTTTCGCTTCTGAGAAAAGGATGGGGCTATAGAAGAATGAGAAATGAACACTGAACTTAAATTGTATCATTATGAGCAAACCGTGCTTTATGACTCTGCAGTGAAATTCATGTTCAGAAGAGTAATTGCATTCTGCTACAGTCAAAATATGCCCTACTGTGAAAGACCGAGATATTTGGGACAGTTAAGTTACTGGAGTGACTTGATCACAGTCTACAGTACCTCTGAAGGGAGCATAATTTTGGTAGTGGACTCTTGAAGCCAGCAGACAAGGGTGTAATAAGATCCACTTGCAGTGGGAAGAAACAAAACAAATTCTAACTTAGAAATAGTCACGTACTTTAGTAGTAAGATTGAAAAAGCTGGAATAGCTTCTCAGTGATCGTGATGAACTCTGCTACAGAAGGTTAAGATTCCTTCTCCCTCAGAAGACTCAAATTCAAATAGAAATTAAATCTGGGTAGACTCACACTTGAGGCTAGGCAGGGGATTGCAAGGGTTCCTTCTGGCTGCACAATGTGTGAATTTCTGCTCATGTGAAGAGCAGAAATGCTAGCAAAAAACCAACAGAAGTCTATTTTTATTTTTGAATACTGAGCTCAACATCACCGAATACAGGGTGCTGAAGCTGGAAAAGAGGCAAATCTGGACTCCTTCAGCATTAGTTGATACTTGAGAAAAACTCGCCTACCTCATTCCTTTTGCTGAGGCTCCATGCTGAATGCACAATTATTTTAACATGAAAATGATGTTTTAGGTATAACCAATATAGAGTAAGAAAGTTCAGTAGTCAAGGAGCCAGTGGTAGAATGTTAAGATATGGAAATGAATAAGAAACTGTTAAAATATAATTTGAGTAACTCGAGCAAGCGGGAACGCTAAACAGTACAGCAATATATTATTATTAAGTGGATTAGAACTGAAGAATTCTATTAAAATAAATCCAGTTGATATAAGCCAATCCTTTACTGACCTGTGCTTGTATATGCACAATATACACAGGTTTGATGAGTACTCATATGCCAGTAAGGAACTGTAGAGCAATGGTTTATACAGTGATGCAGATACATTCCCATCTCGATAAACACTCCATTTTGGAGAAAAATATTTTTAACCTAGAATTCTAGTGTGTGTGAATGCTTGGGGTCTATGTGAACATTCCCTTTAAGTGATTTACTTCAACTCACTTTCTAGATTTTCTATCATTGTGCTAGTATTAGAGCAAAACCTGACCCTGGATAACTCGTGGCCACAAGACAAGGCCCAGAAGCTAGGTTTCTGTGGTTTCTTTTTTGTGTTCTGATCACCTTCTTTTGTTTGTCTGTGGGTTGAGTTAGTCAAATGCCAGTTGTTTAGTAGGAAAGATCCAAGTGGTACCAGATTGCTACTATAGTGCAGAACTTCCAGAGGCAGAGGTCCCAAATGGAGCGCAGAAGGGGGCATAACATGCGACATCCTATCCTTATTTTTTTTCATCCGAGGGTAAAATTGTCATACTAATCCAAATACAAATTGAATGCCACTTGACTGAAATCATGTTCCTTCTTTTCTAGTTTCAGAGGAAAGTATTAAATAATTTTACTCACCGCATAAGCATTTCAAACCAGAATGGGGTGTCCAGCTCAAGTAAGTGGATGGGCCCAAGAGATTTTAACTGAGTTTATCCTCGATAGACTCTATATCCACTTCCTACTTCTTGGAAGTATCCTGATCTTACCTAGTTCTCCCATCTCTTCATTCTTCTGTGTCTCATATATATGCCCCTCCACCATTGCATTATCTTCAGTTACACTCTTTTATATCCTTATATCCCATGACATTACCCCCAACTCCCTCAACTCTCCAGAAATCTGCTTGTGATCTACACAGACAACCTGATACCTAAGCACAGACTTTCTTCCAACTTCATGAATAAATCTCTGAAAAAGAGATTCTCTTGCACCAAATAACAGAAGCTGAACTGCTTGGAGTCAATTATTGGAAGATGGGAGGATAATCAAAAGAAAGCAGAACCACTGGGAAGTGCCAGTCTCCAGTGATTTTTCTGAGATAAGGTTTAGTGCTAATGGAAACATCTTTTCTCTCTACTTGCAACACAACCTCAGTGCTGGCACCATTACTCATGCTGAGTAATACTTTAATATGTAAATAGTCTCACTCAACAAGCGAGACTAGAAAGGATGACAGAACTGATATTACAACCCAGCAATGATAAATTGTTAAGTGCAGAGCCTGGGTATAAAGTGCAGATTTCTTTTGACCAAGTAGGAATGTCTACATCTGATGTCAAGGAAAATAAATAAGCATTTCTCTTTATCTACTGTGGAGAGTTATTCCAGAGTAAATATGTGTCTTCGGTCAAACTATTTATTTATTTCTCTCCACTGACGCAAGACAGCCTATTTGCTTTCATGTAAACAGTTACACTGGAGAAATTTCAAGTTAGAAGAGGTGAACACCACTCTCTTTTTCCCTCCAGTTTTATTCCTTTCAGTTAAATGGGGATTTGGATCCACATTACATCCACAGATATCTGTGGACGGACCTTACCATCTATGTGGAAGAAGGGATGTTGCATCTAGAGCACCACAGATGATCCTCTGCTGAAGAGGACAGAATGGCTGTATCCTTTGCTTAATAATTCATGTGTAATAATTCTGCTATTTATTCCCTCATTAACGGTCTACCCATTAATGCTAAAAATATAAAATTCATAACCAATTGTGCACTGTAGATTTTACAACAATGTCTCAAGGGAGGCTGCTGAACAGCTTTCAAAGCACTGGGGGACCAGCTGACACATTTTGTTTTCCTGAAGTTTGCAGTATGTCTTTCCCTGGATTTTGTAGTAAGATGCCAATACATTATTTAAAAGGTAATAGAAATGGTATGTAACATCAGGTAAAGACTTCAGGAGTCACTTGGACCATGAAGCATACATACACACAATTAGAACCCTCTTAAAGTAACCACTGGTTCATCATCACCACCACATTGTAGACAAGATGCACTTCATTCTTAGAGATTTTACAAAAGCAAAATTTACAGCTGAAAAAAAATACTAGAACTCTGAAGAAGAAAATTGTGGCTAATGACAATATCTGAGGAAAAGGGGGAAGTTGAGAATGACTGCTTGTTAGTGGACTTTAAGATGAAAGATTTGTTACAGGGATCAGTAGTTAATGAAAAGTCATTTTCCACCTAGGTAGGAGGGAATTCAGCACACAGACTTCCAGTAGTATGGACCTTCAGCAGAAAACTGTCAACAAGGTACTCAGCTTGGGATGGTTTAACTACAGTGGTTTATTCTGAATGCAAACAGAAGGATGGTTGCCCATCTTTGTTAAATGTTCTGAAGGCTTCTGTAATCCAACCAAAATATGAAAAGAAAGCACTTTTAGAAAGTTGACAAATTTGAAAGACGCTACAGGGATAATGCTGGAATTGACTGCCTGTGCAATCACAGTCCCGAGCACGTGTGCAGGGAGAGCCTAATGGTTTAAGTGAAAAAATCCCACATAGTTCTGTGGGGTGGGATCAGAGAAAACCCTCCACAAGCCTTGTGTAAAGCCTAACATGATTGATTGATAGGAAAAAAATGGAGCTAGAACAAACCAGAGATGGATACAGCCGAACAAAGTTTCATATGATGAAACACTGTAATAAGATGTTCTCAACTGAAATATAGAAACCAAGAAGAAATATGGTGCCAGGACTGCCTCCAGCTATATTTTTGTCTTCAAAACATTTGGGATAACTAGGTTCTAATTAGCACAT